CTGATACATCTAACCATTCATGTGATCCGTATACAGAATCTTTAGTAAATAGGTAAGGCGCGTTTGATTATAATTTCTCTGCAAAAGCGTCAACTTGATGGGTATAATTTTGGTACCCGGAACTCAGAAGCGTGAGAGGGTATGAACGCGGTACTCCTAATACAAAATGGACGCAGACTGCTGATTTCGTTCGGCTACCTTCCGCCGTTTCCGCGACCATAATACAAAATTTTATAAACCAAATAAGCACATCCGAACAGGACTTGCATGGACAATGTTAGAAACCGATAGGCGAAATGCTCCTGGAATAATGATGCTTTCATGCTGATATATCTAACCATTCCTGTGATCCTGATACAGAATCTTTAGTAAATGAGTAAGGGCATCTGATTAGAAGTTCTCTGCAAAAGCATCAACTTGGTGAGTATAACTTTGCTAACAGAAACTCGGAAACGTGAGAGGGTATGAAAGCAGTACTCTTAAATTTCGTTCGGTTGCCTTCCGCCGTTTCTGTGACCCTAATACAAAATTGTATAAAACAAATAGGCAAATCTGAGCAGGACTTGCATGTGAAATGGTAAAATCTGAGAAGAAAAATGTTGCTACCAGGATCGCAGAAACGCGAGGAGGTATGGAAGCGGTACTCGTGCGCGTGACATGGCAATAGAGTGAAATGGTTTGGCGCGGATCCCTCACACGGTTTTTGTGATCCTGATACACATTTTTAGAAGAAAACATACACAGATGACTAAAAACAGGACTTGCATGGACAATGTTAGAAACCGATAGGCGAAATGTCGCTATCAGGATCGCAGAAACGCAAGGGGGTATGGAAGTACTCGTATTGCTGGAATAAAATTGACTGGAAATACTATTATTCATGCAGTTATCTCTCGCCGTTTCTACGATCCTAATACAAAACCGAACAAGCATATCCGAGCAAGAATGCAAAATGGTCAGATCTGAACGCTGTGCTGATGACAATCAGGGTCGCAGAAACGCGATGAGGTATAGAGGCGGTCCTGGAATAATGATGCTGCTTTCATGCTGGTATCAGCATTAGATGTATATCTAACAATTCCTGTGATCCTGATACATAATTTTTAGTAAATGAATAAGGGCATCTGATTAGAATTTCTCTGCAAAAGCATCGACTCGGTGAGTATAACTTTGCTACCAGGAATTCAAACGTGAGAAGGTATGACGCGGTACTCCTAATACAGAATTAGGCTACCTTCCTCAGTTTCTGCGACCCTAATACAAAATTTTATGAACCAAATAAGCACATTCGAACAGGACTTGTAAAATGGTAAAATCCGATAGGCAAGATGTTGCTACAAAGATCGCAGAAACACGAGGAGGTATGAAGACAATACTCCTGCTCCCTATATAAAATAAAAAGTTCATATTTTTAGCGCTCTCCATAGCTATGATCCTGATACAGAGTTTTTAGGATGCGAATAATCACATCTGAGCAGGATTTCCTTGCAGAATCGTTAAGTTGAAGGACACATTTTGATTTCAGAATTGCAGAAACACAAAAAGAAATGGAAATGACAAAGAAAAAAATAGTTGTTAATCTCTTGGACTTTATTTATTATAAATAAATTGTTATAAATCTGTTAACAGAGAATTGATACAATAAATCACATATCAGCATAACAATGATTGCCATGAAGGGCATAGCATGAATTTACTTTCTACATTACCTAAAATACAACAGTTTTTTTCATCTGGATTCACAGACACTAACTGTTCAGTAATAGTTTTGAAATCCATACTGTTCAAACTATATTTTACACCACCTAACACTACATCCATCTTTCCTGATTTCCTGACCCTTACTGTGCCTATTTTTCCTTCTGGTAAACTATTCAGCCTACAATCCATATTAGGATTGATTTGCATGTCTTTAAAGGCTAATGACTCTGGCATTTGCCAGACTGTAAAAGAGGGGTTGTCTGTATCACCATCTTGCTTTTCAGGGAGCAGCCTTCCAAGTAGGTCTTCCAAAGTTGGTCTATCTAATTTCTCCTCACTGGTGTTAGTCTTTCTGTACTCCTTAGGTATGAATGGTTGGTATTTATCTGCCTCATCATCACTGCTGAACTGAAGAATCTCATCTGAAATATTCAATGAAAAATGTTTCTAGTAACTCCTGCTTGAGCCAATAAGCAAGGAACATAAAGTCACAAAAAAATAATTAACTCAAGATGTTTTTTGAACGATTGATTGTGTGATGTTGGATGGTCTCTGAATAGCTTAACAAATTTTGAAGCAACTACTAAAGCAGAAAAACAAAAATTATAGAATCAGCATCATTTCTGTCAACTTCTTGAATCACTGCCAATTTTTGGAAATCGTGGATTATCTTTTGAAATATTATTAATCTTCTGATTTTATGTTAACACTTTCAGTGCTGATGTCATGACATTAAGTTTTTTTGTCTGTTGCTGATAACACACTTGCGTGATATCTGACCATTTTTTTTATAAATTTGGCTTTATAGTAATCTTTTTACTTAGTTTTAATCAAACTGTCTTGATGTAACCCTTCCAACAGAAAAAATATAATGACTATATATAGGATTCAGTTTACTTAAGACAATTATAAAGTTTAAAAAATTAAAATATTGGAAAAAAAAACAGTGCCGCATCTTTGTTACTTTGTATAATAGGAGCTAGCAGGGAAAGTGTTAAAAGAGATTATTGGGAGTTTTAAGAAACTTGCAATTACAAGTGTCTTTTGAAGCTTCAGGCAAGACAACATATCACAAAGAACAATAAGTGAATCTACTTGACTATTTTGTGACATGTTGAAGACATACAGATAGTTCAGTTTTAGTCTACAACATTTGAGTATACAAGATGATATGTACTGTTTTCAAATACTAAAATGATACTTATGAAGTGAAAAAAAAAACAGTACACTTCAAGTTCAATTTATAAGCAGAAAAACTATGGCTTGTTATGCTGTGAATTATTTATTAGACACAAAATAATACTTTGTATAAAAAATGAGAGAGTGAGGATAGAATTCAGATTAATAAAAAAATATCAACCTGGACTGCAACTTAAACCTAAAAATTCCATGAATGCACCTACCCATAACTCTACTGGAATTGCTTCCTATATTCTCCACTGTTGTAGTTTCCTTCTTAACATATTCTCTACCCTCACCCCTACTTGAAGGAAATCTACTGCTGGAAGATGGAATTTTGTTTTCAGTGCCAATCCCACCTGAGAAAACACTATCAGCCTGTACAAATCTGTTCTTATTCTTGTCATAGTTGTTCCTCTCATTCCTCTTGCTGAAAATAACACTGCATGATTACACTTTTGCTATAAAAATAGTTATTATTATTACTGCACTGAAATAAGTCTAATTTTATTTCTATATTAATATTTGTCATAAATAAAATTGAAGATTGCAACACTACAACAAAAGCACTGGCATATTAGAAAAATGTCCTGGAGGGGCTTGAATTTCCACAAAAGATACTTAGGAAATTACGCCAGATACTTCATTTTTTTTGCACAAAATTAAATGAAGGAACAGAGTTTCTGAGATTGTATAAGTTTCAATCAAAAAATTAAATATATGAAATATGGATCACTTTTAATTTGCTTATATCTGCCTCAAAAACAAATAGATTTTGATGGAATGTAGTGTCTTGGAAAAGCAAAATATGAGACCTTTGACTTTTATGTGTCAGAAGCATTCTCGTTATTCTGTATTAATATTCTGTAGTATAAAAGTATATTTCTAAGAAGTTGTACTATGTGGAAAATGTATTAGGCCATGGGAGTTCGGGGGAGGGAGGAGGCTTTGAGACCCAAAGCCTGCTGAATACACCCTTGAACAAAAGAACCTATCAAGTCTGTTATAGTAGATTTTCAAAAGGGTAGAGAATCTGCTTATAGCACATAATGGCAAGACTATACTTCCAGACATATTGCAAATATTTATAGTTCAGCCCACATAAGAATAATCTTAAGAGAACAGTAAATGATGTGACAGTATCATACTGTGGACACAGATAGGCATGGTAGAAATAAGCTTTATTCTTATATGATGCAAAATTTGAACAGATAGTCAACTAAATATTAAACATCACTGGACTTGCGTTGAAACATTCAATCAAAATTTAGAAAATATGGTGAAAGTTTTGCAGTTGCAATATGTACATTTTATATAATCTTGATTTTGCTATCTGCTGGTGCTAAAATCAAAAATGTTATTATTTTTCAAACATGATTTGTTGTAGGATACTTTTTTTTGTACAAAGAAGGAATCCTGATGTCAGCTACTCTTTAACATACTTTTTGAGACTCACAGACTTGCTTATCACTCCAACAGGCATCAGAGTTATAAACTGCAAAAATCTATTAAATACGTGTTAAACTGAACTTTTAGGCCATATGGTTGTGATCTGTATATTTACTAGTCGAGTCTACAAAGATGTGATAGCATTTGCAAACAATTGTTTTCGCAAATTTTCTTCACAAGCACATAGGCAAAACAAAAAAAAATCAAAAACTTTTTTTAAAGATGATAATTACCTGTTTCTTTGAGTCTCGTGTCTTCTCTGAGTCGTCTCGTTCACGTTCTGCTTATTTCTCTTCACGTTGAGATTGGGCTTGTAAATGTTTTTGGAAGGCCTATTGCCCCCCAGACTCAAATCTCTTGGAAGACGTAGTGACTTCAATCTGCAAGCCATTGGGTCCGCAGGAGCTGCTTTCATGAAATCATTGATGTTTAATTTCTGAGTTTTCTTAAGATCCATATTTGAGAATATTTAAATACTGCAAAACACGTGTTTGGTTCTGCAATTTCGAATTGAAAATGGTGGGGATGGAATGCGAACTTGCAAAAAACAAAAACGTCAAAAATCAGCTGCAAGCACAGAACAGTAATTGGAAAACATAGAGCAAAATAGGAGCAGAGCGACAACTCAATAGGAAAATGGATGTGCTTAGGAAAGCTACCATTTTCTAAGCTCTGTCATAAAATATAGAGTGTTGATATCGTATATAGATTTTACCTCAACCTTGACTAAGATTAACCCTCTATTGTACACACCTAGTTGGACTGGTTAAAAAAATTGTTTTGGTCGAAATATGATTTGTTTATGAGCATAAGAATAAACTTTATTTGGATATTTTATCTTCAAAACAAACTATTTTTGAACTAAACATATGTATATTGAAATATACATTACACCATTCCGTCAATAAAAAACTGAAACTAAAAGAGCTACAAAAGCTTGAATAACCACAAATGAAGTAACAAATACATTTTCAAAATAATTTCATGTATGAAAATGAGTAAAGCAGTTTCTATCCGGCACAAAACATAAATAACACTTGCATTTGGTACACATTACTTTGGTAATCTTTTGGCAACGTCCATTCTTACATCTTCCAGTTTTTTGTTCATATGTGGGCCAGTGAGACATTCCATCTGTTCTACAATCTATATTTGGTCGAACACTAGATATCTTTTGTTTCTTTACGGGTGGTAACTGAGAACTTGATGAAGGGCGACCTCTTTTGTTTTGTTTTCCCACCCAACATAAACTTTGTGCTAAATCACTTTTGAAATCATAAAGCGACATTTGGTGTTTTTTAGATACGCCACAGTCGTCGGAAGCGCGCCTATATAAAAGCCAAGAGATAACTACACACATATCCATCAAATGAAAGAAAATACGCAAGTAATATTTTCTTGATCTTATTTTCGTTCTGTACAATGCCAGAAGAGAGTCTATCAAATCGACACCCCCCATGAATTTATTGTATATGAGTATAATACTGGGACATTGGATGTTTACATCTTGTCGGTTTTTGCGGTCAAATCTTTTTATAGTAGTCACAGGATAGCCGCCTATGAATGTACTTAGCAAAGTCACCACTTTATTGTCCTGCCATTTCACTATCTTTAGTTTAGTGCTTCCACAGCTTGTAATTCTTTCCTCGAAGCTCCCCCTGCCCTGTTTTTTCAGTGATTTGTCGGTTGGCAAACCACTGGATGGCACTCGATTCTCCCGTATAGTTCCCACACTGTAAATACCATTCCGAGCTAATTCGATTTGAAGCTCGGGGCTACAAAACCAGTTATCAAAGAACAGCAGAAAATTCTGGTGTTTTGGAATGTTTTCAGCCAGTCGAATCACTATATTGCTACTAGCACTTATATCCGGTAGATTTTCCGGTTGATTCGTGGCCCCACAGTAAAATTCAAAGTCGTAGACAATACCACTAGCACCTGCCAAACAAAATATTTTGTAACCCCATTTTTTTGGTTTTTTCGGATTGTACTGTTTCAGGGAGCTACGGCCTTTGAACGGTATTATCTGCTCATCGACAGAAAGGTGCTGTTCCATGGGAATTAGTCTCAAATTTTTCCTTATACTCTCCACGAGCTTCCTGATTTTGAAAAGACGATCTGGTGGTTCAACTGGCAATGTAGAATTATCTGCAAAATGCAGAAACTTTTTTATTTGTTCCCACCTCCGAAGAGGCATTACGTCTGCCACTTGAGACACTCTGCAGGCACTGCTCCAGTATCTTCTGGTCCCAGGCACTGTAATCAGTGACATATAGAAACAAACGCCAATAAATTGCTCTAGCTCTTTGGAATCCATGCAGAAATTTAGACCTATGTCCTTCTGTGCCGCATATAGGTTCGTTTGTTCTACTATGTATTCCAACAACTCCTTATCGACTAATTTGTAAAAATAATGCAATGGTGTCTCTACAGATGTCTGAGAGGGTAGTTGAGCTTTCCAAGTTGGCAAATCACTGGGCTCCTTATTAGAGCTTTGCCATTTCAAGGGAGCCTTCTTGATTTTCATGTTTTTGACCCCACCTTGAACAGAAACAGCAGACACACGGAGAATCTTATCTCGAAGTTGTCTGAGAGGGATCTCGTCATCTTCATTCCAGCTACCTAGATTATTCCTTTCCTCATTGTTGTTTCCTTGGTTGTCAGCATTACTTTCCTCTCCACTACTGCTCTCCAATAAATCCTCTCCTAAAAAAAAAAAATAGCAACACAACTTATTATTTCCATAGTATTTTACCTACCATCATAATCTAGCAAAGTGGGTTTATATGTTTCGTCTAATAAGCTATCATCACTATCGAAATCCTCCTCACTATCCAAGTCCGGTACTAATACTGTAACATCCTCCTTTTTTCCATAAAATATTTTTGGATCCATAATTTCTGTAAAGTCGAAACCAGAATTGAACAATGTACATTCAAATATACAGTGACGTCAGTGGCCTGAAAAGTACAATAATATAAAATATATATTATTTCTAACATGCCTTTGTAGTAAACATACCTCAATAAGTATTCAAAAAAAATGTACGCTCAATTCTGCCAACAAAACACACTAATAATGTTATTTGATATCACGTGTTTACCGGCGGCGTCCAAACAGCACGACACTTTCCGTACAGACTGAAATAACTGCCCGAAGTGGGTGATTTACCAACGAAATCTACCGAAAACGATCGATCACACGTGTATATTCAGATATACACTGTGTAGCTTCGACTTGCGGGTCATAAGACGCAAAGGACAAATTGTTTGATATTTGTATATTTAAATATACATGATACCATACAGGGTTAAGAGAACAGCATACGCTTTAACTCAAACTCCCGGCATTTGAATAAATATGTCTTTGACCTACAGCAGCTAGTATTTAGCTTGATTATTGCTTATTATATTCGGAAAATGATTATTATTGTGTGGTAAAGCGCTCTATATCTTTTGACAACATGGAACCTGACACTGGTAGTAGTGACATCAGTGACAGTGAGTGACAGTTGAAGTTAACCTAACAAAACTTTTCCTCACTCTCACGTGTATCTTAAATTCTTAAAAACAATAATTTACTAACACAGAAATATGGTTTCAAAGAAAAAGAAGAAGGTAAGAATATGTGAAAATCTTTCACAGAAGCCTGCATATTGAATGCTTTTTATATTTCAGTATTCCACTGGAGAGGGAGCGCAATTTTTGACCCGAAAAGCAGCGCTAAAGAAGCTACAGTTGTCTCTCAGGGACTTTCGTAGACTGTGTATTCTCAAAGGCATTTATCCTAGAGAGCCACGTAACAGAAAACGTGCACAGAAAGGGGATACTAGCATAAAAACCTTATATCATGTTAAAGACATACAGTTTTTATTACATGAACCTATAATCTGGAAACTACGGGATTACAAGATATTTAACAAGAAAGTAGGTCGTGCCAGAGCTGTAAAAGACTTCGAGACGTTGCACAAGTATCTCAACAATCATCCAACATTAAAACTAGATCATATAGTAAAGGAGAGATATCCTACTTTCATTGATGCTTTGAAAGATCTAGATGATTGTTTGACACTATGTTTCTTATTCAGCACATTTCCTTCTCTGTCACATGTACCCAGAGATCAATCTGCTCTATGTAGGAGGCTTACTCTGGAGTTTCTACATGGTGTCATTGAAGCAAAAGCTTTGAGGAAGGTGTTTGTTTCAATTAAGGGTTATTATTTCCAAGTAGAAATTAAAGGGGAAATAATTACTTGGATACAACCTCATCACTTTGCCTTTACTCCTCAAAGTAGAGGAGAAGTAGACTTCAAACTCATGTCTACATTTGTAGAGTTTTATACTGTGATGTTGGGATTTGTAAACTTTAGATTGTATCATAGTTTGAACTTGTATTATCCACCAAAATTCTCAGCTGTGACTCAGTCAGACAGTGAAAAATCATTGGTGGATGAAGAGGTATTTGTTTCTGAAAGAGTAGCAGCACTGAATTTTCCATTGGCTAAAACTTCCAATACTGAAACTGATGAATGTGAGTTGGATGAGTTTAACATGGAAGGAGATGCAGAAAAATTGGAAGAATTGAGAAAGGAGGCTGAAAAGGTAAATTTTTTAATCCACCCAGCTACAAAAAAATATTTTATTGATATTAAAATAGTTACTGCAAAAAAGAAACATCAACATTTTTGCTCTAACTTAACTCACTATGCCTTTTATATTTATCAACACTCCATTAATTTCCCTTTTTAAAGGTAAAGAAGCTTAAGACCCTTTTCAAAGGATTGAAGATTTTCTTGAACAGAGAAGTACCAAGAGAACCACTGGTGTTTATTATAAGGTGCTTTGGAGGAGAAGTTTCTTGGGACAAGGATATGTTTATTGGATCTACATTTGATGAAAATGATGAATCTATTACTCACCAGATTGTAGATAGACCATCAATAGATAAGCAGTATATATCAAGGTAAATCATATACCAACCAAAATCAGATAAATGTAATATTTATTTAAAATAAACATGGTCTGCTTCCATCTGCCTGACCAAAAGTCAGCCATCCTTGCTATCGTGTGCTTTTTGGCTACTCCTCAGCATGGTCTAGACTTGAGTCTTTCACACAACAATCTGGAGGCGCATGTACCATGTAGATGGCGCTTCGTGCTGGCTTATTTTAATATATATTTATTAGTATAACTTTAGAGAGTATAGTGGGAATTTTTGAATTTTCTAGAACAATGAAGGTCAGTCAGGTTTTGTAGTAAGTACTGACTCAATGTTTAACTTCTACATCGATTAATGCATTCTGCTTGAAGCTAGCCAACCATGGTCAGTATTCTGCCATCCAAAAAAGAATCTGAAAGATATTAGCGTCATCTAAGAGAATAGTAGAACACAAAAATTAATTTAGTAATTGTTATTGAAAAGAGTGGTTGGTTCTGCTTCAGTTTCATACATGGCCCTAGGATCTGCAATCCCCTTTTAGGTGCAATATGCTAATCATTACCTGAAGAGACCCAATTAAAATAGGCATATCGGGGTGGCCAAAAAAGGATTAGAGATCTCATTGTCATCTGTGAGCAAGTAGCGAAACCAAACATAGTAAGTCTTTTCAAAGTAGATTTCTAAATTTATCTTTGTGTAAGCAGAAACTGTCTCATAGTTGAATAGCATCTTTCGGATCCCTTTTTGGGCGAGATAATTCAGTATATGGTTGACTATCATCATGTAGAATATCTTGATCAGTTGCTTCTTTTATGAACCAAGTTACTTCTTTTCTCAACAGATATTACGTTCAGCCACAGTGGATTTTTGACTGTGTTAATGCCAGAGATCTACTACCAGTGAATAAGTACTTTATAGGGGAGGTATTACCTCCTCATCTGTCACCCTTCATAGACCCAGAAAAGGACCAACAGTACATTCCCCCTGAAGCTAGGGCCATCTATGATGAAAATGAGTTGGAGCAACATCACAAGTTAGAAAATGATGAAGATGAGGCAGAAAGTGAGAGTGAAGAAGAAGAAAATGAAGATGGCGAGAATAATGAGGAAAATGGGAATGCAGATGAAGTTGATGAGGCTGTTGAAGATGACGATGAGAAAAAGAAGGTATTAAATCTTTGTCTCATTACAAATAGCGTTTTTGAGATAAACTATTGAAATATCACCAAAAGCTTCAATCTTGAAATTACATGGGCCAGAATTTACCAAATTTATCAGGTCACTGGAAACATTCTTTCTATCAAATCCTAGAGTATTATTCTAAAGGTGATTATTTTTGTTTCAGAAACCTAAGCTATCAGTTACTCCAGGCAAGGTCCACAAAGAGGTGCCATGGGAGAAGAACAAGCAAGAGAGGCAAGAATTCAGACTTAGAGAAAAAATGATCAAAAGGAAATACAAGAACTTGTATAAGAGTATGATGGAAGGAAAGAAAGAGAGGTCCAAGGAAATTTGGTTGTTGAGGAAGAAGAGGAGGTTGCATGATGAGGGTGAGGCCAAGAAGAAGAAAGAAGAAAAGAAACAGAAGAAAAAAGCTACTGCAGTTGATGCATAGATTTGTGTTTCATGTGAATATATTTTGTTTTAACGAAAGTCGTCTGTTCAATGGGGAGAGGTGAGGAAAATCAAATTACATGATGAGGAATGGCAAAGGTTCACAATAATGTCAAAGAATGTGTGACAGAAATTTAATAGTACTTTGCCTAATGACACCATGCTTTAGCAGAATACTTTTTTGTCCACTATGTCTTGGAATTTACAGTGAAGGCGTCAAGTAGGTAAATGGATCTATTCAGTCAAACCGGACCATACAATAAGTCCATAGTTCCCACCCATTTTGACAACATTGCGATCTAGAAATTCTCCCTTGCCCTACCGACAATACTGAACATCTGGCAACATCGCCGAAAGTGTCCACAGCGGGGACGTTTCCCCCCTCGAATCTGCTTGGACCCTAAAGGTCCGTTTAAATCTGATCACGCACGCACTGATCCACCGCAAATACTCAAGTATAAACGGCTATGCGCCCACGTTCACCCTGTATCTTGATGTGCGCGAGCAAGAGCGAACGCGCACACGGGTATTATGTAAACAAACCTATAAAACGTCAAGAAAAACTATAAAATGACTAGGTAGTTTTTAGGATGCAAACGGTTATTCCACGCTTGCTCACTAGGATCGTTCTGAGCGTCCATCGATAGAGGAATGACTCAACTACACGTATTGTTAGTTACATATGTGTTGTGAAGCCGAGTAGTCTAGAGTTTTCATCTGTGAGAAGAAAGCTGGTTGAATAGCAAGATCGCATCTGGATGATTGTGTGTATTCGTCTGGATGTGTTAAAACCAGTGATATTTGCTGTGTGAGAAAATCATTACTGCGTATGCTGCCAATGAAGTATATCTATTAGCTATGCCCGACGGGTTATTTATGTGTTGTCCTTTCTGAAAACAGGATCTGTTCAAAGCTATAAATTACGATTTTTTTACGTTTTTTTGTGTTTTCAAAAACTTTGAGGAGAATTACGGGAAATCACCACCGCGCCCGCGTTGTGTGTAATTACTGTTAGCATATAGGTATATGAGTTGTAATTCAACAGTGTACAGTGAATAGAATTCTTATCTCTCATTTTTGAAATTCAGCAAATCGCTGGCTTAGTTCTAATACGGTGTATCCCCAAAAAGCGAATTAACAGTACGTAGAAGAAACGATTAACTCAGGATTAATTTGTCACTTAATGCTGTTAGATGTTTTTATTAGCACATTTGAGATCAACTTTATCTGTTTTAGACAAAATATCGACATGTAGAAACCATTCCAGCCTTGTATGTGGCTTAAGAAGTATTAGCATTTGATCATTATGTTCTGTCCTCGTTGAAGTAAATATTTAGAATACATATCGTAGTACCCTCGTAATAGTACCCAACCGCCACGATTTCAAAGCACGCACGCAGGGAAGGAAAGCGGCACCGCGCCCCTTCCCCCCTACCTTTCTCCTCTCTGGCCACCTATAACCCTTCATTCCTTATTCTCATGCCCGACCGTCAAGAAGTTAATCGGCGCGCGTCGTTTACGTGCAGTGCAGTGTCAAGGATCCGCTGAACATTTAGAATTAGAAAACAGGACAGAAGGTTGGCCGAAAGATGTGCATTGTCGAACGAGGTACCGACCGACGGTCGCCTGAAGGTTCCTTCGTCGCGGACCAAAATTAGAAAGTGGCGTGCAGGCCTCTTTTTCTGAAGGGGCGTCACCATCAGGTAACTGTCAACGCTTAAACATTGGTCTCGGTTGCTTGGGATAGCAATGTGCACCTGGCTTGGTATAGTCAGCTCCAC